TTAAAGAACCGGAGCGCGGGGGAGGCTGAAGGTTGCCGTGTCCCAACTTTAACTCCTGAATCTCAAGGTCGCAGCGATACCGCAGGGCACAATCTGTGATAGAGGAGTTCGAATTTGTCCCTTCCAGGGCTTGCACTCTGAGGGCGAAAGGAGCTGGGGTAGAAATCCCCTTTCACTCTCGCTTCTTGGAGTCTGAGTGGGCTCCTCTGCGAGTTCAGTCCATCTTCGGCAAAAGCCTGGCCGGGCTGAGCAGGAAACCTTCCCAAGCCCTGACGAGCCCTGTCGAAGTGCTGGGATCAATCAACTCGCTGAGGGTCTCAAACTTTTCCTAAACTACGTGTCAGATCGCRTCAAATAAGGGGGGAAACCATCCACCGAGGGTTTAAAAACACAGCCCTCTCTCTCTCCCTCTCTCTTTCCCTCCAGTCTAGACAGAACTGGAAGCCAGGTCTGCAGCTGAACAACGTTTCTGATGGCGCTGGCTGCTGCTAGTCCGGGCCTAGCACGCGTCTGGTGGCGTCCCAGACACGTCCCCCCATGCTGCCACCTCCTTAAGCCTGATGGGGTGACAGCTGGGACAGCCCGGGGTGCCGGACCCCCGCTCCGGGGGCAGCTCCCGTGGGAGCGCATCGCGGCTCCCGCTGCCCCGCAGCAGAGGCCGGGGTGGAGAGGCCTTGGTACGTGCCCACCTTTATTTCATGMGCCAGGATGGGACGGGGGTGCCCCCCACCCATCGGGTCCAAACCTCGCCATGGGGCCCTTTCCCCRGGTCTCGCCGCCCCGGGATCTCAGCCGGGAGGGGAAGCCTTTCTGGGCTGTTGCACTCCCCGTTTCCCCTCCCAGTAAAGCCAACTGGAAACCAGTAGCCGATTATGAGGAGGGGGAGACACGACGGACAGATGGGGATCCCCCTCCGCTCCTTCCACGGACATATCCCGAAAGGAGAGGGAATCTGGGTAATGCGGAACTGTGTGGAAGAACCCCCSCGCCCCATAAAATCCTTCTGCAGCCGGCGGGGGAGCGGGCACTGGCCGCAGCCGCCTCTCTCCGGCTCCCCCCTTTCCCCTCCACCCTCCCAGGCACCAAACGCAGGACTCGGGGACCGGAGGCGGTAGTTTCCGCGGCCTGTCATCCCTGGATGCAAAGCTTTGGTTTAAAATGTATTTCCAGCCGTACTTAAGACGATGAAAGATCAGGAATTCGCTGTATGCATTTAAACGTTGCCCTTAATAAGCAGAGTGTGCGGAAGCGCACGCCCGGCCTGTTTAGGGAAGACAGACACATRAAACACACCCGAGCTGTGGGTATAAACCTGCTCTCGGGGTCGTCTTKTTGCTCTCGAGGATCAGCAGGGCTGGAAAAGCCGGGACGCATCCAGCAGCATCTCGAAACGTGCCGCTTTTCCTCCCTCCTAAATCAAAGGCWTTGGGGGTCGTGTTCCCCAGGCACGGCCGGCGAGTGACCCCCCTCGAAATTACGACGCTCTGTTTCTCATCGGGAGATTTCCCGATGGGTAATAATGGCTGGAAAAAGCGGCGGAGCAGCGCCTCGCTTCCCTTGCTGCGTTACCTCGGCGTGCCTCGGGAGCTCACGCTAAAGGAGCCCCGGCTTCCCAAAGCACGGCTCCTCCGTGCTCCCGAAGTTTCTGAATTAAATTGCCATAACGGTAAGCTTTGCTCGGGTTGGGAGGGAGCTTTTATTCCGCCCCCCTCCCCCTTTATATTTTTTGGTTGGGTTTTTTTGAGGGGGTTGGTTTTTTGGTTTTTGTTTTTTGGGTTTTTTTTGGCCCTTTTAATAAAGCTCCCTAGAAACCGTGACGGAGAGCAGACCATCCACTCCGGGATTTGCTAATTCCTTCACCCTGCTCCTCCCGGTCCGGAGAGSCACAAACAAATGACAAAGCGGGGCAGCTGGGCTTTATTTAGCCACCCGCAGGCACTGACCAGCGCTTCACCGTGCGGCTGCCATCAGCTCCGCGGCCGCACGGACAGCACGGGCGGTCAGCGGCTCCCCTCGGCTGCCGGCCCCCAGCCTCCCCTCGCCCCGGGCCGCCCCAAGGGTGTTCAGTGGGATGGTGCGAGGCTCCCGGGGGGTTGATTCTCCCCAAATCCCGAGCGGTGCTGGCGCTCGCTGCTGGGTGTCCCCGAAAAGAACCGGAGGAGCCGCAGCCCCGGCCGGGGAGMAGCGGGGTCCCGGCGCCGCTTCAGGCCGGGCTGGGATCGGAGCCTCCTTCCCCTCTCTGCCCGGCCCCAGGAGAAGGTGCAGGGCCTCGCTGCGAAGCCGCCGCGCCTTAATTCCCAGCCTGCTTCCCCAGCTCCAGAAAACTCCAAGCAAAACAAAATAATAATAACAACCACTCTGTTTTTTCCCCGAGGCCGTGCCCGGACGGGAAGCGCCGTGCCGAGGGGCCATCCCCGGGGGCCGGCCGGGCTCCTCCGGGGCTGCAGGCACGAACCGAGCCCGCTCTCTTCGGGACGGTCCCCCCGAGCAAACGGAGCCGAATCGATAGCCAGGGAGGAGGGGGAGAAATGGGGATGAACCGGCCGGCTCTGCCTCCCGCCATCGCCGGGTTTGGGGCAGCGCAGCGCTGCCTTCTCTTCCCTGGGCTCATTTCCAGCCCGGCGGCTTTTCCCTCAATCCCCCCTCTCTCACCACCCCGTTCTGGGACCCCTGCAGGCGTCCCCTCCCGCCTGCCAGGACGCTGATCGGGTCGTGCCCACCCCACCACSCCGTCCCCGTTCTCTCTCGGCCCGCGGCGCCTCCCCGTCAGCCCTGGCGGTGATTTTACCTTCGGGGAAGACGGCTCGCATTTTCAGGTAGCTGGTGGTGAGGCGGATGATGGACGCCTTGTCCAGCTGAGAGGTGATGGCCGAGGGCAGGGGCAGGAGTTTGGCCAGTTCGTAGAATTCTCCATTTTCTTTTTCCCGTCTAGTCTTTGCCGCGTTCTTGGATTTTTCCTTCATCGCGACTGCTGCAAGGCGGGGATGTCACTGGCATATTAGACCCGATTCTTCCGAATGGCAGGGGGCATGGATTTCCACTTCAGAGTTAATATTTTCGTTAAAGGAAGGGAATTTACCCAAATCAAATCAAATAATTAATAATAATAATAAACGGAGGGAAAAAAAAAATACTAAAAAGGGGAGGGAAAAAAATAAAGCCAAACCAACCAAACAGAAACAACACCAACAGAAGGGGTACAAAGAAGGGGCAGGCGATCTCTGAGCCACAACCAGGACAGAAAAGCCGCTCGGAGAAGGCAATTCTGCTCTGACCCTGCAGTAGCGAGGGCTTCGAAACCCAGACTGAGAGACCCGCGGGAACCTTCGTCCTTTGCGTGCAGCTGGAAATCGGATCTTGATCCTCAACGGGGAGCAAATCGCTGGGTTCCCTTCACTGAACGATTTCTTCTACTCAATCCTTCCCCGTACAAAAACAATAATTAAAAAATAATTAGAATAGAGCGTCCATGCGAGAAATCATTGGGCTAAGCAGGCTGAACCATTTTTGGACATTTTGTCTCTTAAGAAAAAAAAAAAAAAAAAAAGCAAAGAGGAAACGGAACGACCTCGCTGCTCGTTGAACAAAGTGCAAAATGGTCTGGTCCCGGAGCCCGCGATGCCGAGGGCACGCCGAGCTCCCCGCTGAACGAAACTCAAACGCGATGCGGCGGCAGCTGATGGCCGGAGTGCTCCGAAATCAGCAGCTCTCCTTCCGTTCCGACGCTCCCCACCGGGCGGGTCGCTCCTGCGGACGAAGGACGCTGCTTCGGCCGTGCCGCGGGGCTCCGGCAGCGCTGGGGCGCGGGGGCCGCCGATCCCCGCGGGCGGGCGGGGCCGGGGCTGCGGGCGCGGGGGCTGCGGGGCTGCTCCTGCCGCTGCGGCCGCTGCGCCCAGCTCCAAATGTGGTTCTCATGCGGAGTCAAATTAAAGGATCCGTTTTCCTCGGGACCAGTGCCACTTCAGCGTTGTCTCTTTCCAAACAAGTCCGAGCGCTGGCAAAGGCGCGGGATTGATTTTGTTGCTTTTATTTATTGGGTTGKTTTTTTTTCCTCCTCCTTTTAAAGAAAAAGAATTTGCAAGATAGCAATCGTTTCTTGGTGGGTTTTTTTTTGTTTCTTTTTTATTTGTCACGTATTTCAAGAGCGAAGCYTTGGCTCTTTGGCAGAGACATGCCTTTCAAAGGCAAGGGGAGGGTTTGCTACATTCACCTCCCGCAATGAGCAGCGATCCTCACCATTCGGCGAGGATCGAAGGTGAAATTCCCCTCCTCTCGGAAATCATTGCCGCCGCGCTCCTCGTCTGATAGCACCGATAGCTCAGCTTTTTTTTTTCTCCCCTTTTCTTTTTCTTTCTCCTTTTTATTTTTTTTTTTTTTCCAGGGGCAGAAGGAGCTCTGAAGTGGACCTCTCGGTTAATTCTTTAGCAAAGGCTGCAGAAAGCCAGAAGAGCCTCAAGAGGGGAGGGGATAATGTATCCGTGACGTGTCCTCCCGCGCAGCGCCCTCCGAGGCACCCAAATCCAGCGGAGCCAGCGCAGAGCCGCAATTAGCACTTGCSATGGGATGGGAGGCCGGCCCGGGGGGAGCCGGGGGCGGGGGCCGCTCGCTGGGGCAGCCCGAGCCCGCTCCCCCCGGCCTCCCCAGGCTGCCGGCCGAGCCCCTTGCCCCTCGGTGCCCTTCTCGGTGCACTGGCCGTGACCCCGAGGGGGCCCTTGTCCCTGTCCCGGAGCGCAGCTGCCCGCGGGTGGAGCCTCGGGGGTGTGTGGGGCAGCGACCCGCGTGGGTTCCCCTTCCCCAGCCCCACGGCGCCGCCATAAATTGAGCCGAGCGCTTTGCCCCGTTGTTTCGGCGCTGGGTAAAACGTACCTGCACACCCAAGCAGGTACGCGTGGCTCCTGTGTACAGAGCACGCATTTATAGGGTATATAAAATACATATTCAATTATTTAATATTTACTACTACACGTGTATACACGCACACAAACACATTTCCACGCGGCCCCTCGTCCATGCGGGGGAAGTGGCCGAGCTCCGGGGGAGMTGCCCAGGGGCCGCCCCGCCGCCCTCCCCGCCGGCAGCCGCCGCTCATCAGCCCCCGCCGGGCCGCCGCTGACCGGGGCTTAACCCCGGAGCTGCCGAAGCGGCGCTCGGGCCGAAGATGAAACATCTCCCCGAGAGCCCGGGCGTGGCCGGGGACCCCGGGCCCCCTCCCTCGGGGAACTCAGGGGGCTGTGACCGCCGGGCTCGGGGCCAGCTTTGCAGCGGCTGTCACAAAGGCGATGCCCGGGTCCCTCGTCACGTCCCGAATGAAGAGGGAATTCAGCCCAGCCCGGGCAGGACTGAGCCGTGCCGGGCCAGGTTGAACGCGGCCCCGACCTTTGGGGCGCCTCCGCGCTCTTTGGGGTCACCAACCCGCGCTTGTGTCCCTGTCCCGCTCCCACAGGGACCCGACCCTGCCCAGAGCCCCTTGCACCGATCCGCCCCGGACACGCGTGGCTCCAGCACCGTGAGGGGGGAGCGGGGGATTGAAGCGGAGAGCAAAGGAGAAAGAGGGAGCAGCAGAGCCCAGCGAGACGCGGCTCCAAATCCAGGACGCCGAGGGGGATGGGAGCGCCTGTTGGCAAAACACAATGGCCCCGTCCTTAATATTAATCCCCGGGAGAGGCCCGGCCGGCGGGCGAGCGTGTTTGCCTAAGCTCGCCCGGCCCTCTGTAATTATCCCATTAGGGCGGACGGAGCCCGGCTCAGCCGTGCCGAGGGAAAGGCCGCCCTCTTTAACCTCCACGGGGCCACCAACACCTCGGGATGGCGAGTGGGACCCTGCGGCACCTCCTGCCTTCCCTGCGGGAGATGCGGAGTCCCGAAGGGTTCCAGGCGCTGCCCGCACGGCCTCTGGTACCAAATCCATCCCTCCCGGCTCAGGTACACGGGACGCGCCCGGCTGACCCTCCTTTGGTAGGGAGGACAAACGGGGAATGGGAACAGGCTCTGCCGCGCCGTCCTGGGTGGGATTTAGGCTGGAGCTGGCTCCCAGGTCAAGGAAACCTGAGCGAAAGCCTTGCACCGGCGGAACCGGGCAATGTAACCCGTTTTGCCCTCCTGCATTTCCCTTTTTACCSAAAAAATAGGAGCAGCCCCGTACCACGCTCTTAGGGGACACCTCTCCTCGGCACATTGGCAGATTTAACCCGCCGCTGTATTTTTCTTTTTACGGAAGCGTGTTTGGGCTGGGACTTTTCGGCGACCTAAACAAACCTAAATTAACTTAGGAAAAAACAAAAAACAAAAAAAAACAAAAAAAAAAACCAAAAAAAACCAAAAACAAAAAACCCAACAAACTCAGAAAACCAAAACCACCCGTCGAAAAGAAACTTCAGTTTTTCGGGGAAATTCTCAAAATTCAATTCAACCTCCGCCCGCCGCCGAAACTGGACACATGAGCAGAGGTAAAAACAAATATATATCGGGGGAAAAAATTATTTATATCTATCTATACATATATATTTTTGCGGAAAATTATCAAGGCAGGTCCTAACGGTTCCGTTTCAACCCGCTCCGCGATCGCTGATCCCGAGAAGGAAACTCTACGCGACTTTTCAGTGTCCTSAAAACAAAATATAGGGACAAACGACGGGGTGGCAAAGGAAAGCGTTAGGGGAGCGGGCTCTATTTGGAACAAATTACGGTGGTTTGGAGAAAAGGCAGATTTGAGAATTATTTCAACAGAATCYCGATAGAAAAGGGAAAATCACAGCTCTACAAGAGTGGCCCAAACCTTTTGAGGCGGATTCGCGACGTGCAGCTCGRTGAGTCCGAGGTGGCCTCGGGACTTCCCTCCGAGCCTTTTCATAAGAAACCCCTCTCCAGGGCCGAAAATAAATTAGGAGCATAAATAAAACCAATAATTACTTAAATATTCWGATCGTGTTTTCACTGATACTTTATTGTTGAATCCTAAATCGGGTGCGCACAAACCCCACTATTATTTAACAACATTTTCCCTTTGCTTGGAGAGAAAAACCCTTCCCCGAGTGCGAGACAGAGGGAGACCGTTTTTTCCCCAGGTAAGCCGTGTCGCAGAGGAATATTCCCAACGTTTTCTGGTTTTCCCCCTCTTCCCAGAATTTTCAACTGAATATGGAAAACGGAGAGGAAAACGAGTGGTGAGAGCAACCCCCATCCACCCCCAAACAAACTCTTCTCGCTGCTCCCTCGCTGCGCTCCGGGGCTTGCGCGGGTGGGTGCCCCGGGTCTGGGTGCCGCTGGGGACAAGCTCGAGGCTCCAAGGGACGGAATTCAACGCCTTTTTTTGCCCGAGGTTCCGAGGGAGGGGGTTCAACTTTTTTTTTTTGGCAAACCCGCATCTTGCAGGCGGAGAGGGGCTGCACAGGCGGGACCTTCGGCACCGCTCCCCTCCCGGGATCCGGGGGCATTCCCAGGGCCACTCCAGCCGAGGTTTGCGGGGATGGGGGTCGCCATCCTCCTGCGTCCGTGAAAGCCCCTCTCTTTCCACGGAAAACTTTGCGGCGCCGTGATTTTGGTGTCGGCGGAGTTTTCCTGCTTTTTTTTTTCTTCGGTAGAGGCTGGGGGTGGAATCAGAGCGGCGGACCCGAGCACAGAGCGGGGCTTAACTCTAGTCTGATGTGCTTAGCTGAAGTATTAACTGTGAGAAATACCACCAGGCTCCACAGGAAAGAAAATATCATCAGRTATTTGAACATTTACAGCCTGCAACATCAGCACCGCTCCGGGCTCAAGGAGCAGCAGCGCTTATCGTCCCCGGAGGAATCCCCCGTATTTTTTTTCCCGTAACTACTGTTCCCAAGTGTGGATGTACACACACAGCCGCTCACACACGCAAATCCTATAAATGCTAATAAAACAGATTCCTCAGGATTTGTTTAACTTGCCCTGGCACCACGATCCTATATTGATATTCAATGGGGTTGCTGGTGTGCATGAGGATTACTGGTTAAGTGCAAGACTTCGGGATCAACCTTCTAGGGTGCCGGTCGGACATGTCCTTGCAGACGGCGAAGGTGGGAGCCATAAACGTTGGCAGCGCCATTAATT